GGGGTTGGCCGGGCGGTCCCATCCCCGCCGCTCTAGTCCAGAGGTTCTTGTTTTATCCTGATGGGCGTGTTGATGGAGAGACTCCGCCGGTCCTCGCGGCACAACACGTACTCGCTGAACTGCGACGAGTCCACGCCGCCGCCGCAGGACGCCGCCACGCTGAAGCCTTTCTGGAAGAGACGCTCCAAGACCTTGAACGCGCACACACGCAAAAAGGAAGAGACGTTAATAAACAGCCATGATCGCCTTTTAGGACGCATGTGGAAAATGAATGGACAGCTGTCAGCTTGCAAGCTCGAAGACTGTACATCGAACATTTTGTGTTTTCAGAATTGCACCGGTGTGACAAACGGCTAAAGACGAGACAGAGGCACTGGTAAGTCGGTGTAACGTCATCATGACCCAAGCTGCCGCAATTGTCTCTGCTGCAGTTATGACAGTTGCTTTCAAGCCAGGCAAAAAAAAAAGAGGAAAATTTGATGTTTTTGTGTGTTTTTGTGGTTCCGACATTTTGTGTCACTTCAGTCATATTGCTGTTACACTGACTTGTAAGCGTCTCTGTGTCAGGAATTTAAAGTCACGATGGACCAGCTAGCACACCAGTCGGAATTTCAAAAGACTTGATGAAAAATGAAAAAACCCCAAAAAACTCCAACCAATAATCCGTTCAAGCCCCCCCACCCCCAAAAAAAGACAAATGTTTTAATAAAGAAAAATACTAAAACCAAAAACTCTATCAATTGTGTAAAAACAACATTGAAGCACCTGAGCTGTGCATCTGCCAAGTGACGGACATCCGTTTAGGCCTCTGCGGCTCCTCGCGAGTGTACTCATTTTGCTTCTGCATGTTTGAGTGACTTGAGTGTTTTTGTAACTTGCTTGTCGCTTGACTTTTGTTTCCCTCCCCCAGCTGTCCGCTGGATGTTTCTTTTCACGCAGGATTTCTCAACGGCGACGTGCTCACCGCCCATTCACCGTGCCGTGTGTCAGTGTTTCACGTTGGCTCAAACTACGGTAGAGGTTGGTCGGGGAAGTTCCGCGCATCCTTATTCCCGACACGCGAACCCTCACACACATACCTCCACCCACCCTGGCGGCTTACTCCTCTCACCCCGGCCTCCTCATTACTGAAATTATGAGCTCCAGTAATCACCTCGCCGAGCTCGCCCCTTGAACGCACCTCGCCTCACACTCTCCGCAACCCTTTGAGCTCGTGGCCTCGCTGCGTCTGGCCAATCAGGCGCCGGCCGGTGTCATGAATAGTGCAGCGGTGGTGTGAAGTCTCCCAGCTCCACGGTCCCGTTCTGTGTGAAAAGGTGGGCGCCTTAATGACGCGCGGCTCATGTTTTGACTGATGATGGAGGAGTTGGAGGCTATCTTGGAAAAATACCAGACAGACTTCCTGCGATGGGTTAACTTTGAGCGTTGGCAGCCCGGTTAGCGCTTCTAGCATTGTACAATATTGTGTCAGGGTGATTAAGTCATTTTTTTATAGCATCCTTAATTAGCATTTGAACATTATTTCAGGACAATTGTATTGCCGTGGTCAGAACCAATACTTTGTGATGGCAGTAAACCCCCCCGACCTCCTAACACAGTCTGGAAAACGAGTCAAATTACGCTGCGACACACTGCCGGGAACAAGTGACTCCAGGACCAATTTCAGCCTGAGTTTCCAATTACGGTTTCAAAGCAGGGTTAAGGTGTCAAAGCAGAGATTCAAACTCGGGTTAAGGTTTCAACTAGGGTTAGGGTTTCCAAATATGGTTTTGAATTTGTGTTAGGGTGTCCAATAATGGTCTCAAAGTAGGGTTTCAAAGTGGGGTTTGGTTTACAAAGTCGGCTTTCCAATTAGGGTTATGGTTTCCAGTTAGGGTGTCAAACTACGGTTAGGGTGTCAAAGTAGGGTTTCAAACTCGTGTTAGGGTTTCAAAGTAAGGTTTCAAATTATGGTTACATTTTCCAATTAGGATTTCAAACTGGTTAGGGTCATAAAGAAGGGTTTCAAATTAGGGTTAGGTTTCCAATTAGGGTTTCAAACTAGGGTTAGGGTTTCAAAGTAAGGTTTCAAATTATGGTTACATTTTCCAATTAGGATTTCAAACTGGTTAGGGTCATAAAGAAGGGTTTCAAATTAGGGTTAGGGTTTCAAATTAGGGTTTCAAACTAGGGTTAGGGTTTCAAAGTAGGGTTTCAAATTCGGATTTGCGTTTCAAAGAAGGGTTTCTCAGTAAGGTTGGGGTTTGAAAGTCAGGTTTCAAATTGGTGTGAGGTTTTCAAAACAAGGTTTAGGGCTGCAGCTATTGAATATTTTATGTATTCGGATATCCCCCTGAAATTTCAAATTGAGTATTCGCCAATCACAGGGCACACATAGACGAACGACCATTCTTTCGTGCTAGGAACAATTTGGAGTGTTCCATTAACCTGCCATGCATGTTTTTGGAATGTGGGAGGAAACTGGAGTACCCGGAGAAAACCCACATAGGCACTGGGAGAACATGCAAACTCCACACAGGAAGGCCGGAGCCAGAATCAAACCCTGCACTTCTGCACTGTGAGGTGGGCATGCGAACCATTCGATCACTGGGCCACATAATAATAATAATAATGTTTTAATTCATCCAACAACATCATCAAATTAGATGACAGAAATGACATGCACTTATCTTTGAAATATTGTATACAAGTTGCCTGCAATGATACGTAAGATTCAGCAGGTGTCCGTACAGAGCAAAAGAGTGCCCGCAGGACCGACACAGCTTCAGTCCAGTAGGGGCCAAATGTCTTGTTGAGAATCAGGGCAAGCAAAATCTGACACGCCTTTACTTCCAACACAAAGTTCAGAGGATTTCCTCACGTCTTCCCCCGCCTCCTCCCACCTTTCGCCCCCCCCAGCATCAGCGACAAATTTTGCGAAACAGAAGGGACAGCAGACAGCTGATGGTGAGGATGGCTAATTAAGAGACCTGCCCAAGCGTCACCCCCCCCCCCCACTCTCCCACCCATTTTTTTTTTTCCTTTTTTTTTTTTTTTTTTTGTCCATGACAGGCAAACGATTATGGAAATGATATTACATTGCCTTCTTTTATGGTTGCATCACATTGCATTTCTTCTCCCTCTGCGTGTCACCCTTTTCACACATGTGGGACTCTCGCTCGTCTTTGGGCCCGATCAATAAAGATAGCGCGGAAAAGGGAGCTTTATCGCAAAGCCGTGGCAAGACTTTAGGATGTTGTTACATATCTCGACACTTGAGGATATTCAAGCTTTTAAGGCGGCACGACCACGCCACGGGAGGATGAACGAGGTTTGAAAATCCATCCCTGATTGGCTCCTAAGAGCTCCGTTCTGTACGTTAGCGTCTTCAAACTGATGACATTTCATCTTACGAGAAGGTGCTTTTCTTTTCTGGGGTTACAAGGGCACAAAGCTATGGGTTATAATAGCTTTATTCATTTTTTTTTTTTTTTAAATTTCATTATGGCTTTCGTTTTTTTTTAAATTCACTTTTAGTTTCCGTATTTTCCGCACAATAAGGTGTTTTGGAGTATAAGGCGCACCTTCGATGAATGGCCTATTTTGAAACTGTTTTCATGTATAGGGCGCACCACATTATAAGGCGCATAGAATAGAAGCTACAATTGTGGCTGCAGTTGCATCCACTAGATGGCGGTACGCTAAAGGTAATACAATACAATACTGCTTCATTTAGCTGGAGCTTTCAGGACCGCTGCAGCTGGAACAAAGTGGTTGAGAGAACATTTAAAATACTACATCCAAGAAATCTGAATATTGATCCATACATACAGTAAGGTGCATCTTTCCAACCTTATTCGAACTATTTTTGTTCGTTTTCATTGACAATACTAAGTTGCAGTTTTTCCAAATTTCGGAAAAGTCGGAAAAGAAAACTTTCACAGTTCACAAAGACTTTAATGTTTCGCCTGCTTTTCGTGCTCCCTGATTCCTAAACACACGAGACATCATCAACGTCCTCTTCCCAACCGCGCACCCCGAAGCCGCCTCGCTGAGCCGTCGCTCAACCTCAGGGTCGCCGTGGGAACGAGGAGGGCGTACGCATACTAAACCTGGCCCATCTAACCTCTCAGCATCAAACATTGGAAAACAGAGTTTAATGCAATACTGATGGCCACGAGAGTATACACACACACACACACACACACACACACACACACACACACACACACACACACACACACACACACACACACACATGGGCTGAGAATTGATTGATACATTGCTCCATGGGAATTAATATACTTTCACTTGAAGTGTAATTAAGTTTTATATGAAGCATATTGCAGCGCTGTAGAGTTGAAGTCATTTAGGTAAGTTGACCAAGTCGGGAATGCACATCCAACGCTCTTTTCATCGCACCTTGCAAATCCACCAACATAGTGCACGTGTGTGGGAGTGTGTTTGTGTGTGTGTGTGTGTGCGAGCGCTACTTCAGATTGATGGACTTGTAGTCTGTGTGGTGTGACATGTCAAAGGGTGTTGCGGCGTGTTGCGTTGGCCGCGACGGAGGCAGGCGAGGGGACAGGGGCCCCTTCGCCGCCACTGTCACATTGATGAAGGACGGATTGGCCGTGCTCTGATGTGAGCGCTTCATCACTGTGATGTATGGACCAGTTTGTGTGTGCATGTGTGTGCGTGTGTGTAAGTCTGCCCGAATGTTTTTCCTCTGTTAAGTGCCTTTGCTTTTCTGTATTTCTTTTCACCTCCCACACTGGAAGGACATCAGAGTGCAGGTGGTTTGCATTATTCTCGATAATACCCACTCATGACTTCACGGGGGAAATCACAAGGCGAGGCACGGCTCTTCACCCCAACCACAAGACTACACGCATTGACGTTTTTTTTTTTTTTTTTTTTTTAATGATGTTCTTTTAGGAGAATAAAGTCATGTTAGCAGATAAAAATTACCACTTTACAAGAATGTCATGATATGAGGAGAACAGTAAGCTTGACATCAATAGTGTCATAATATCCATCCATCCATCCATCCATCCATTTTGCGATCCACTTTTATCCTCACAAGGGTCGCGGGGTGTGCTGGAGCCTATCCCAGCCGCTTTTTGGGTAGTAGGGCAGGGGTACACCCTGGACCGCCAGCCAATCGTAGGGCACACATAGACGAACAACCATCCGCGCTTACACTCATACC